CTCCAATCTGCTGACAGTTTTAATCTTGCTTGCAAAGTGTTAACTATTGTAACATGGATGTTGCTGCACACTGGTGCTCTAGACTAAGCTACATTGCTCAACAGATGAGTGGTTGCATTTTGTACAAATGGATATTTTTACGATGTCTGGCCAATTCAAATTATTACATCTGTAATATAAATCTGTGTCCTAAATAATAGTATATTTTTAATTCACAGGATTATGGCATCACTAAATCTACTAAGATACTTGGTCATTAAGGATTGTGAAAATGATAATCAAGTAAGTACTAACTGATTTGAAAATGATTGATTAGCTAAGGGCTGAGAGCTGGATTCATGTGAATGCTGTTATCCTTGGTTCAGAAACATATTTTCTGAATTTTTTTTTGCAATGGTCAGTAATCCAGAAGTGATGTTTTATTAACTACATTAGCACATCTGTGATGTATTACTTTATTCTGATTAAATTTGATTGCATTCATACTTAATTGTTACTGTAAACAAGCTAATCCTTTTACTCTGCCTGATGAACTGTGGTCTATGTCCATAATTTTAGAGTGTGTCTCCCTAAAATCAAGTATTCCCATGAGAAGAAATATTTGTCACTCTTGCTTATTTATTCAGTGGTATCCCTCAAGCCTCCAAGTGGATTTCTTCAGAATAATAATACAAACCTTTGCAGTTCAAAAGATCCATTTTATTCATCTTTAGGCAAAATACTTTTTGTGCTATGTGCTGAAAGTTAATAGTATTAAGACGTCTCAGGAAGTATTTAATCAGCATATTTGAACAGTTTTTAGCGGGCAAAACAAAATTCTATATTTACAGCAACTGTGCAGCTGAATGATAGGCACACGTTAAAAGCTTCTTTAGGTATTAGCATAAAAAAATTCTTGTCTGTAAGATCTTTCTGCTGAAGTAACAAAAGGAATGGCCAGGCCAATCCAATTTTCTGCTACATTGCTTTACTGGATACAGCCAAGACTGTTTTATGCACAAAGGTAACTTGCCACCACTGTATTTTGCCTATGTTTTTATTATATGTATACCTCTTTACCTTCATTTCTCCTGTGTGTGGATGTTTGAGTGTAGATATTTCAGAAATACCCTGCATATTTAAACTTTGTATATTTAAAAAATTGAAACTGCCCTTATGTATTTTAACCATATAATATTATCCTACCTCAGTTTAAAGCAGGATTTTACAGCTTTAACTGTAAACCCCACTTCTTCTCTGTTTTGTTTATCTCTTTTCTGTCTGAAGCAGTCAGCAACATTTGTTACGGGTAGATCAGTGCAAGCTCTATTTGTTATTCAACTGCTGTTTGGCTTTTCAGTGTGGTGTATTATGATGGATCTGCTGTTGTTGAGTACAGTCAGTCCTGTCCACCTGCAGTTGATGGAAATGTGTTCCTGGATACTCAAGGGGAAACTCGCTTGAATTTCACAACTGGGTCGATATATGGATTCCATATTCTAGCAGCTGATATATAAGTGTTCTGGCTTGCATTGTGTCGCTACAGCATTGAAGAGCCAGTGGAATTATTTGTGGTTAGTTTTCCAATTACATTCCACTACCAAATGGCTACTTATTCTGATAGTAAATGCAACATCTGTTGACTCTTCCAAATCATTGTGTTCCACCAGTCCTCTAATTTATGTAATTCCGTAGCTTTTTATCCACTATATCATGCAGCAAGCAAGATCACCTGATCCAGTTGAAGATGTCCCTGCTCATTGCAAAGGGGTTGGACTAGATGACCTTTAAAGGTCCCTTCCAACCCAAATCATTCTATGATCTCCTTAGAAATAAATGTTTTGATTTTTTGTGTTAAAATATTTGTTTAAATTAGTCACAGTTTAAAGAAAAAATGGTTTTCAGTTGTGGAGTAAAGTCTTTCCTGACTGGAATAAGCAATGTCATGGTCAGATGAATATTCTAACCAGCAGATGAGTATCCTAAGGTGTTTTGTTGTTCTCCCCCAGTTCCTTGATTTTGTTTATGATTTGGAGTAATAGACTTCAGCATATAATTTTCTGTTTCCTAAAATACAAAAAAGAATTCTGATCAACTCCTAGAGCACTTTGAGATCTACGAATACAAGTTTTGTAAGTGCCTAATGATGTTATTAGTCTGAGAATAATAACAATACAACTTGCACTGATTACCAAAACCGTAATGAAAATGAATAGTAAAAATAGCTTTCAGTTGGTTCATTTCTAATTTACTATTTATGTAATTAGTTAGTATTGATAGACTGTATCTGTTTCTCAGATTTATGGAGTGATTACTATTTAAGTGCTCATTATGGTCCACACAGTTTCATGTCAATGCGCAGGTTTGTAAGAAAAGAGATTATTCCTCTTATTATTAAAAATGTAGACATAGGAGCACACAATTGCTGTAGCCATGCTGTCTAGTAACTGGCATAAAGAATGTCCCTACAGTTAGAGGAGAAAATAGCATCACCTCTTCTGAAGTTTTCCCTTAAATTTAGGCTCTGCCAGTTGTTCTTGACTTCCTCCCTGTCTCACTTCTTCATATAGTGCAAGTGGGGCAGAAAGAAAATGCTTCCTTTCATGTCAGCTCAGTCGTTTTGATCGCTGTGTAACAAGCACTTTCATTAATTGAGCTTAAAAACCAGTATTTTCCTGGAAAGTTATTTCTTTGGTTTTAGCCCCATTCTGGAGGAAGTAATTACTGCTTTTCTTATTTGACCAAATAACTTTGTGTCATTTAGCATTAAAATTTGGTGAATTTTCCGCTGTAATCAACAATCCTATTTAACACTGAGCGTTCTTATTTTTATCGTCCTTATTCTGCCCTTTGAGGATACTGCCTGAAGAAAGGAGTCATATAAATGGCTCCTATATCTCAAGACACAAAGACTGCTTTATATTTGTTTCCTTCCACAGCAGTTTTGTAACTACAAGCTTATAAGGTGCCAAGGCAGAGAAGTTTTCCTCTTGTGTTGCGTAACCTTGAACAGCCTTGCTTTTGAGCATCTTTTCCTTGTACCTCTTGCTTCCTGAGTGCTGTTGTTGTAAACGCCTCCTTTCGCCCATGCCAAATTGGGGAGTTCATGTGTCACTTCAGCTAAGTGTGCCTAGGGATGGGCTAGTAGGGTATTCAGTAACATTCCTACAATGCTTTTTAAGCTCAATGTGATAGAGAGAAGACCCTTACATATCTGGGGAGCATGACAGTCATCAGAGCTTTCATTTGGCAGCGCAATACAGTGTTAATTTGGCAACATGAATTTAAATAATTCAGCAGCAAAATGGCACAAATATCTTGGAGGAATCTACAACTGCTGTTTACTCACTGTAGAGATTCTAGCCTGAGAACGTGGCTACTACCCCTCTTTCAACAGACCAAGATCCTTTCAGCTTTGCTTACAAGAACAAGTTGAAAATACGCGTTTTCAGTGCTGTAGTTACCAGCCTACATACTAAGTTTTTCCTCCCTTCCCCCACCTTTTTTTTTGGTTGTTCTTTTTTGTTTTCTTTTTTGTTCTCTTTTTTTTTTGACTGCTTCATCCTCTAATTTTCCACAAATAATCTTGAAAATGTGAGAGAGAGGGAGAGAAGCTTAAAAGTCCATCGTGGTGCTATTCAGTCTAAAATGGACGAGTCGAAATTATCTTTTTCTTTTTCTTCCCAGCACAGAAGTGTATGTTATTAAGACCAGTCCAAAAACTTGTGCTCAAAACGTTAGCATTGCAATGCTCCATTGGAACTAATTTGTACCTTTCTCTGTTCTGTTTGAATAGACTGGCGTATGGACCACACTTGCCAAGATTGAGCAGAATTTTTTAAAACCGCTGCATGTGGGACTCAATATGTCAAAAGCACACTATGAAGCAGAAATAAAGAACAAGAAAGAGAACAGAAGAGGTTAGTTATTTTCTTTTTTTTTCTTCGCTTTGTTCATATTTAGAAACTTTGGAAATCCTTTGGAAACAAAGAATTGGTGAGTGCTCTATAGATGATGTTTTATTTAACCACTGACACTATTCCAAATTTCAAATAATAATTCAGTAGTTGCTACATTTGATATTAATAATCTTCATAATTGGTCAGAAAAATCTGGACTGGTTTCTCTCTCATCGTATTTGTAAACCTTATAGAAACCTGATAGAAATGTCACATGAAGATCTTGAAAGCTTGTTCTGCATTTATACTTTTGATTTTAAGGTTAGACAGGAGCATCTAAGTCTCTCTGTGAATATATAGCCATTAGGTTTCATGCTAGGTGTGGGAGAAGAAATAATTCACGCAGCAAATAGGTGCTCTCTTAAACACTCAGGGATTCCATTCTGGATTTTTTTATGATTTTTTTTTAATTTATTTATTTTTTTAATCCAACACACAGAGTCAGATTCTGCTCTGGGTAAAGCAGACACATTCCACAGGGCATAAGAGCTATAGCTGCTTTAGGCCATCTCTGTGTGTGTCAGATTTGCCATTCCTTTCTGCTCTCCAATATAATTAAGACAGACCAAGGAACTTGCTTCTGCTACCAAAAATGTCAGCATGGCTTTTTGCCCCTAGTCTTATCCTCTTCTGTTGTTGTAAACTCTCTGAGGCAGAGAAGGGGAATTTTTCTGAAGGCAACCTGTGGATATCTTTCTAAAGGGAACCATTTAAAATTAATCAGGAAGCTTTTATTTTAAGTCCCTCTTATGTTTCTCTAGCCTTTGACAAAGCTTAAAGAGATTTGAGCTCGGGAGAGAACATCTGACTTGTAATAGTAAATGGTTTAGCCTTTCTCCCCAAAGTATAATCTTTGTGAGCATAATGTTGAATTTCAAATATGTGGTCTGAATGTAAGAGTGGTTTTCCCCTTAGTTTTCAGACTTGTCCTTGTAGTTTTGCCTGCTGCAAGTAATCTGTCTGAAACGGAGAAGCCTGCAGCCTTTTCTTAGTAAAATAAGTATTTCATGTCTGGTTTCATTAAGTCAAGCTAAAGAACCCTTTATTATCTCTCTGGATGTGGAAATACTAAAAATATATCAAAAATGACCAGATCTAATAATTTTTTTCCCTCTTAAGGAGGAATTAAGGAGCTATGTACAATTGTTTTGAGTTGCAGCTATCACCTGTTTAGTAATGTAGTCATATGTGATACAGAAAGCGCACGTACAGCATCCAGCTCAAACTGTCTTTCTCTTAAGGATCAGCACCTTCTGTGCTGTGTTGGGTCAGTCCCTAGGTTTGTGGTTTTTAACAGTTACTGTCTACAAATACTAATATTTTAAATAAGTTTTAGAATGAAAAGAATATGTGAAACAGCCGCCTGATCTCTGGTTGGTTATTTTCTTCTACAGAGGCACACAGTTCTAACACAGTTTGTTCTGTAACTGTGAGTGGGGAGAAGATGCCTGCCATGACTACTGAAATGCAGCTTCAGGTGAGTTTGCATTTCCTCCGCAAGTTACTCAGAAGTATTGAAACTTCCTTTTCAACCCAGGGACAAACGTACATATACAGCGGGGGAAAAAACCCAAAATTTCTTCTATTAAAAATAACATTAATGTCTTTTTGTCATTTCAGGTTTTACATTCTGCTCTCTTCACATTTGATTTAATAGAAAGTGTGCTAGCTCGAGTAGAAGAACTCATTGAAGTGAAAATAAAAGCGGTAATGGATGAAAACAGTTAGGTCAGCTGATGTATTTGAATTCACATGCTTCTTACAAGATAATTTTGACTGTGAGACTTTAGTTTTGAAAAGGAGGCTACCAACCTTCCAACAAAAGCGATTTAGAGTGGCCTCTAGAAGAATTGCAAATGCTGCTCTTCATCAGTCTTGTTCCTGTTCTTTTTTTAGTTTCTTGTGCTATTGTTGTATGCGATTCACAGAGATGGCTTATTTACTAAAGTGCTCCTCTTCAGAATTTGATGCTTTTTCTTAAGTTTAGAAACTAAAAACAAGGTTTGGGGGTTTTTTTTCTTATGCTGTCCAAGGAGGTATGGCTGTGCATTTATTTTTCTGTTGACTTTCAAAATTTGTTAGACAATAATTGAGGACTGGTGTTGTGAATTACAAAGATTTTTATAAAGTGACTGGAGAACCATTAATTAAAAAGCACTATGTAAGCACAAGGTATTTTTATTAGCACTTTTTAATGTTGACAGACAAGCTTCAATATTTACAAAGAGGACTGTGAGGTATAGATAGATCACAGTAGAAACATTTTGGCAGGGAAACAAGGTTTAAAGAAAAACAAACACATCAACTTTGAGCCAAATAAAATGCAAAAACTTAGTAAGACAACAGATAACACTTGTGTTTAAAAAACCACACTGTGTAAGATTTCATACATATACCTGTTTATGCAGGGGAAACCTATATTTTGGAGTTGTTTTGATCATCCTTACCTTTAATGATAAAGTTTTTCTTAAGATATATAAAATATTTTGGGAAATACTTATAAAGAGATGAGCTCATAAGTTCAGAATCAAGTTAAAAGTAAGGATGGCTCATCTGCAGTTTCTTAGAATGCACATTTGGTATAATGTATGCTATTTTTCTCTGTATAGTTATTTAATATAAACTTTCATTCCAAATGCACAAGTTGTACATACAGTCTTTTGAAATGTAACCATATTTTTAAGAACATGCTATATTTTGTTTAAAATGTAGCCACTCTATTTATGAATAAAACCCCAAAATACTAAATTAATTACAGTGCAACTGGTACTCCTGGTGCATCTTCCAAACTGGACTGTTTTCTATTATTTGCGCTTTTGTCACTGCCATTTGGTAACGAGCATCATCTGCTTGTGGCTTGGAAGTTACCTTAGAGGAACAAAAAAGATTATGAGTAGGACTCAGTAACTCCTAGGTAATAGAATATTCAACATCTTGTTTTTCAAATAGTAAAATGTTCAAATGTAAAATTATTCAGCAGTGAAACCTGAAGCATGCTTTCTGAAGTAGGTATTCAGGAATGATGTACACAGAGGTGATTCGATGTATGCTTTTAGGTGCAAGACGAGTCCTAAAATAACCAGTCCTGTCAGCTTTGCTTCTGATTATCTGGGTAGTATGTCAGCAGGAGTTGGATATGGTAGCTCAGGATTAGTTGGATGGTATTGCTCCCTTGGCCGTGTCTGTTAACTGGGGGCAAAAAAGCTCCTTTTTTAGGCCCTATACCAGTTAGGGATTCGCTGGCAAAAGCTGAGCTCATTAAACTGGCTTTGCACTGCATCCGTAAGAAATAACGTAATGGCAACCGATAGATTTCTGGTGTATGCTGTCATCACTTCTTACAGGGCTCTGCTGCTGAAGTTTGGTGTAAACATTCCAAACAAGTAGAAAAGCAAACTCAAGTTTGTAGGAGCAGCAGTAATCTGGAGAGGGTTTATGTTAATGCTGCACTAAGAGACTGGGCCAGACATCAGTAGATTCCAGAAAGAGTTTAAGTACGGTATTCAACACTGTAATAAGTATTTAACAGCTTTTGCCATATTATGGGTGAGATGTAGCTTACACGCTTTTAAAATGATGAATACTCTGAATAGGTTAATGCTTATTATTTTGAGATGCCCACTTCAGGAAGGGATAAAATGTAAATTCATATTTGATTACTAACATGCCATCCAACCACCTCCTTTTATTTTTGGCACATGGGATGCTGCTAGTGTTGTTATAGTTAATATCTAAATTGGATATTTCATGGAAAAATGTTCTTTAAAGAGGCTCAGTAAATAGATTTAATTAATAATGTGTTGATGCATACAAGGTATGTTGCAGATACACAGAAATTACACTCATTAACCTGTAGAAATAACATACTAGTATGTGCATCATTAAAAAACTATACCTAACTAGAGTTTTTTGATTGGCATTTTTACTTTAAGTTGAAGTCATTATGAATTTAGATCTCATGCTGGTTCTGCACTCATCAATGAAATGAAAACATCCTAACTTAAGAGCCTAATTAGCTCATAAATATCTAATCTGTCTTCATAGATGCTATTAAGAACTTTTAAAGTTACCCTTAACAATAGTTTAAAGACTCAGCTAAAGCATGAGAGTAACAGTCCTACCTCAGTGTATTACATGGACTGTGGTCAGTACGACCCAAAAAGTTCCATTAAGGAAAAAGAAATATTTTCTAGTTTTTGGCTTTTCCTGGCTAATATACTTCTGACAAACTAGTATTTTTAAGTAGTGCCACCAGACTTACCTTAGCTATAGTTAGCATTAACTTCACAGTTTCAGCAGTATTATGAACTGGTATTACACGTAAATTACTGCCCAGGAATCTGCACATCAAAATAAATTAAGTTTAAGGTTACTGTTAGAACAGACATCTAATTTGTTATGCCATAAAACTCAAAAAGCATTCCCATGTGATGTAAACAACTTCTTATCGTGCCTTCACCGCAAGTACATAGAAGATGGCTTTTATCTTTAAAGGCCACTGGGGAGTTCACGCTGTTTGTGTAGCCATCTGTCCCCTTTCTGTGCCACTTGTTTAGGTGGGATTTGGAAGGGCTCATTTCTTTTCCTAGGCCTCCTTGACACTCAGTCAATCAAATCAACACTTCTTAAGCACGTGTACATTCAGAGAGAATGAAACCCCCTTCTGCTGTATTGTTGAAGACTGTCTGTTCTCAGTGCCAGTAAAAAAATGTTTGGGTTGGTTGTTTTTTTAATGGCTGTGGAAGAACACTGGGAAGTATCTAAGAACACCTGCTAAGAATACATCAGAATTTGAATAAATCTAAATATAGCAATCTGTACGTGAGATGTGATTAAGATAATGGGATAATTCTGCTACAAATTTCATGTAAAGACTTGTCCATTCAAATAATTTATAACTCTCAAATAATTCATACGCATTCATTCTTGAGAATGGAATCTGAAGATTTAAAAAACTAGCATCGGTTGTCCTTCGGCGTGGTCACGGAGGAGAGAGAGATCAAAGCTTAGGCAAGCGCAGAGCCTCTCAAGACTTGTATCCAGTTAGCGTTGCTGCCGCTTTCTGGTGTAGGGCCAAAACACGAGAGGGACTTAACAACAAAGAACGAGGAATTTTAAATAATCAAAGATGTAATCCAAGGAGAGCGCCCAGCTGCTCAGCTGTGCCCTCCCCTTGTGACCGCCACCTGTTCTTCCCCGCAATCTGTTTGATGACTTGGACTCGTTCACACTGAGACCCGTGCTGGTCAGGCGTCTGACCTGAACTCCTCTAATTAGCAAAAATAAATGTTACAGGCAGTGTCCCTCCCTAAGAGTAGGTACTCGGGTGACTCCTGAGTTCTGCTAAAATCTGATGCAGAAACTGTGGTTTGATTTACATTTAGGGATCAGGGAAATAAATAGACGCAACTTCGCTAATACTAGGAAAGGGCTAAGCAACATGTGAGTGAACAAAGAGCAACAAAGAACAATTACATGTACGTACCTAGATTCATGGAAATCCATTTCTCTCAATAGCTTTGCTTCTAGTTACAGCAGGTCTAAATTTAGTTTGTATTTTATTAATTTGATTGATGGGCAGAATATTGCCATTAAAACACAAGGCTGGTCTTTGCTCCAAGGTGTTTAAAAATTAGCGTGCAGATTTACTGAGTGGAATGCTCACTTGAGCTGTGATGAGCAACCTGATCTAGTTAGCGGTGTCCCTGCTCACTGCAGGGGGGTTGGACTGGATGACCTCTAGGGGTCCCTTCCAACCCAAAACATTCTAAGATTCTAAGATTCTAAGATTCTAAGATTCTAAGATTCTAAGATTCTAAGATTCTAAGATTCTAAGATTCTAAGATTCTAAGATTCTAAGATTCTAAGATATTCCGATAGCTTTTCTCCCCCTTCCCCTGTGATACATGCAACCCTACATAAAGCATTCGTGGTGCTGAACAGCAGTCCTATAATGTTCTCAATAATAATAAAAAAAAAACAAACCTTCCCAATTGCAACAAAACCACAGATAAGCAGAAAGAAACGGTAATACAGGAAGACCTGAAAATACCAGGGGATTTTGTTTTTTTAACAAATCCAACAGGCGACTTGTCGTTTGAGAGAACATGGCACAAGTTTGGAACCCCCCCCTTCCAATGCAAAAGCTCAGTCAGTGATTTGCATAGCACAACTCCGAGCTGCCAGGTGCATCTAAAATATAATTGTGCCTTGCCAGCATCAATTTGGTATGGTCTGCAATGACAACAAAACTATTATTTTTATTTTAATAAAATTACTGACTTGCCAAATGGAATATTATTTCAACCCCCTCACATTTGTTAGTGGTCAACACGTGCACGAAATCCGTTGTCTGTAACCACAAAGCAGGCTGAGAATGAGCATTGCCATCAGCTGAATAACATGTTCTTGCTGAACGGTGACAGAGCCTTTGCGACCTCTCATGAAAATTTATGGAATTTTCACAAATGGGTAATATATTTCCTACATTTCATCCCATGCACTCTGCTACTCATCAGCATTTGGCAGTGTGCCCAGGGTTTAACGAAACCAGTGCCAGTTTCAAGGAGCTAAAGATCAAAGGCTGCATTAGAATAGTCACTTCTTTGATGTCAAGAAGGAAAATCAACTGCAGGTAGGACTACTGTACCTACCAGAAAATAGCTTCCACTACAAGCACGGAGCACAACCTGGTAACTGTTGTTGGCAGGTATGTACTGAAACACACAAGTTTTCAGGCTTCATTAGAAATCACAGATAAAATTTTAATGTCCAGTTTTATACGTTTGCTGTAAAATAAGATGGATAATTTCAATTGTTCTGGCTCTGTATAATAGACACTGTTCCAGGTAAACAGATTTTAAAAGTGGGCAAGGAATCTGTGCTTTACAATAAAGCCTTTTCTCATGAAGAAAACTTGCCTCCTCTGTTTTGAAAATGACCATGAAAAATGCTGACAGAGCTAAGAAAATTGCCTTATTCTCCAGTTCAGGAGAAAACTTTAAGAAGAATTGTATGACATAACCCTAAAGTGATTGAAACGGATGTTTTTTGCTATGTTTCGAGCAATGTTCCCTTTTGTCCCCTATGACACATCAGATTGATTCACTTGGTATTCTTTTCATTTGCCATTGATAAACATATGCTTTAAATAATTTTCCAGTGCATTAGCAAAATAAAGTTCATATTCCTGAAAATAATTCCTAAAATAACATTCCTGAATCCAGGACTGCTGCTTCAGACCTTCCTAGCGATAAAAATTCTGGTTTGATGCTGAAATCATACCTTCTCTGAATCCTAAACATGACATTCCATTCTTCTGGTCCATGAAGAGCAGCCGACAAAACCAAAAAACTGTTCCGATGAATGTTTATGAACTTCTGAATTCTTCTGAAAAACTGTTCTTCCCCTGCCATAAGCAAGGCTTGAGTGTCTGCCAGTATAAACGCAACACCTATTGAAGAAGTTGATATAAATGTATATATGTCGTGGCAGTAACGTGATTTAAGTTCTCACCACAAACCAGGAAGTAGAATTCTTACTCAAACATTAGTTTAAAAGGCAATGGAACAAACACGTGAATGAATTTACACATCTTGACAGTGAAATGCAACCATGAGATTTAGCCAGCAATGACTAGTATTTTTAAGATATAACTACACATGACTCAGAGGTTATTTTCGACCATAGCATCAAAACCACCCAACTGTTCACCCGAAGTCCAGGCACCTGAATGCCTTTGAAAGCACATGCTTCAGGAGCAAGCAACTGCTATAATGGAACGAATTTAGGGCAAATGCAAAGACTGGCTGAAGAGGTCAGCGAGTCCCGTTTCTAAATGAGATAAACAAACACACCTGTAACATCTTAAAAGTATGCTAAACTGTCTACCATGAAAAATGAAATTATAACCCCGTCAACTAAGTTATTCTGAAAGGGAAAGTTAAGAAGGCTGAAGTTTAGGAGGCTTAACAGAAGACTAGGCCAACGTGTGCTGTGTTAATCCTTGTAGTTCAGGAAAGCTTCAGCTTAAGGATCTCATCTACCTGTCTAAAGCATCTTCTGCTCTAAAAAGGAAGGATAGATATTTCATGTTTGCAGTTCCAGTGATGTCCTCATCAAACCTGCTCAAAGAATCCCTTCCCTAACTCCTCCGCTACCACCAGGTCTGCAAACTCAACTTGGAAGATGAAAGCCAAGGATCTTAGTTCACTTTTGGGCTTACAGCCATGAATACTAACGCTCTAGTGTATCTGTTCTACAATACACCCCAAAAAAGTAACACCCAATGAAAATGTTTCATCCCCAAAGTGCTCTGCTCCAGCCTCTGATTTATGTGCAAACACAGCACAGCTCCTTCCTGTATTGCACGACGTTCCAACAAGGCAGCTTTTAATCAGTTTAGTGTAGCCTACAACAGGGCCTGATCTCATACCCCATTAGATCTTATGTATTTAAAAACATAAACTTCAAAGTACTGTACCAGAAAGAGAAAAAATCACGGATCCATTTTCCACCGATTCTGAATATCGAACTCGGTGTTGTTGCCTCTGGAGAATCGTAGAAATTTCATGATTCTAAATAAATGTTAAAAGGTCATTGTTAAAATACATTTTCAGCCAACAAGTTAGATGACAAAAATATTCTTAAAGCATTTTCTGAACCATTATAGATAGAACTTTAGCGCTGTTGTTTAAAAAATATTTTTATTCCACTTACAATAAAAAAAAGTAGTAAATGGTAATTAAACTTTTTCAGTTAATGAAATTTTGAAAAATTTGCATTGGAAGTCATCAAACATTGAATGAAAATTCTGTACATATACATTCAGTTTGCCACAGGAAGCTCTTGCATAATACATAAAGAAGCACATTTTACAGTCTATTTTTTAAGATGTGCTAAACGAGGATTTGCAGAAGTGAGGAACGTTCAGTAGTGTGCTTCTATGACTCCTCTTAATTAGACTGCATTATTTTCACAGATGTCAGCATTTCATCTGGAAGATAGTTCAGAAAATCTGTATGGGACATGATTTTCTTTAAAGCTTTTTGACAGAATGCAATCCACTCAGAAAAACTGGAACATGTCACTACACAACATAATCATCTACAGAATGGAGTGGGTTTGGATACATTTTTTCAGCCTGCAAAAAGCATTTCTGCAGTATGTTCCACAGAAACTGCTCAAATATACACATTTTAAAAATAAAACCTCTGAATCCTTTTTAGGTAATATATTCTTTAACCTCCCCATTTAAAACGCAGCCAACCTGCCTATATAGGGAAGTGTCGTGATTTAGTGGAAGCGTACAAAATGAAGTCAGGATAGCAAGTGAACCCTGAAGGAGACAGTAACCAGAAATGTTATGCTTTCAATTGGTTTGGAAAGGGAACACTCAATGACAGCTGCTTATGAGATATAACTACAATTTTGGAAAACCTCTCTGCTTCGAAGCCACTGCTGACAGTGAATTATTTAATGCACCTATATAAATAACAGCTATAAGAAAAGGATAGCTGCACAGGGAAAAGAGAAAGGTCATAACCAAAACTGATACAAAGCAATGCCTTTGTAAAAGAAAAGCCATCTTAGATTTGTATTCACCTATTTCCATATCTTTGCTCACTGTGAGCCCTTACCAACAGCAGCAGCTTTGAGTAGAGCTGGGGCTTTTATGAACAGGAGTGAGTTATGCTGGTATAGCTGATGAGATCACTGCCCTCCGATACCTCTCACCATATTATGGATTAAGTTGCTCTTGAAGGAGTGCCCAAACTGGAACAGTTTACAGGCTGTCATTCCAAGACAAGCAGGCAAATAAGAACATGCTTTAAACTGAGGTGATTCGAGAATTACTTCAACACCATTTATACAGCAGAGATGGGGTGATAACCTTGTCAGCCAAGCCAGCGTAAGATACCCTTGCTTGTGAATCAAAGCTCTCTTGCCTCTAAATTCTCTCCAGCTGGCATGAAATTGGTCTCAGCTGCAGGAACTAATTACCAGCTCCTTGACATACCCTTTCACTTTACTGAGGAAAACAGTCCAGGCTTCTGATATTAACGGATATAAATATACATTAGTAGCTGTAAGACTCGCTATTTTAAACTGAATTGCACACTTACTGAGTAATAATCTACCCTGATGTTGATATTGTATAGTACAAAATAAAGCGTTCAGGGAGAAATTCAGATAATTAAAAACATTTCTGATGGAATCATTCATAGTGCTAATTGAAAGCAGCCTCAGTGCAGCGCAAAAATGATGCATCAGGAGGACAATCCTAAAGCAGTATAACCCAGAACAGCAGGTGGCAAGAATACTAAATGGGTACAGAAGTAGCTAAGTAGCTAGGAGAAAAACCACACACACAAAAAGAACCAGTACTATAGTAGAAACAACTTCAGACTAATGTCACTGTTTTTTCCTCAAAAAACTATATTTATTGACATTGCATAAAATATTTCCACTTATAGAATAGAGGAAATGCTTCTTTCAGTGTTTCTTAGTGAGTCAGATGCTGGTCTTGACAAGGGGTATTGTACCTGAAGAGCTGTACTCATAATAACTGTTGTTATCCATCTTGACTCTTCCTGCCCACCACTTTCTGTCATTTTTTTCAAGGGTTTAATGGCTCTGTAGTGAAATCTCAGCTGCCACCTTCTGAAAAGCTTGGAAAAAGAAAGATGACAAACATTGCCTGCCAGTTAAAGAGGTGAAATGTTTAAGGTACACAGATCCATTAAAGATCTGACTAAAAAACTGGGCATTACCCTATTCTCCAAAATGTATACAGGTGCCTACTTCTACTGAACTAATTTAAGATGGCAATTAGATACCTAAATAGCTTTAAAGAATCTGTATCGGAGAGGGCTTCCTCTATAAGGCATGACAGGGAGAGCTGCATAATGAATAAATTACTTCAGAAAAACATTCCTGAAAGCACTTAAAACTACTAAAGAATATTTGTCCTATTTTTAAAGGGCATGTTTGTCACTGTGCACCTTTTACACTAAGATATTTTTGGGAAGACTGCCCCAGGCCTACTGCCCAGCCTGGAGTGGCCCACCATGCCGCAGGCCGGAGCACTAGTTCTTTTCATGTACTTTTGCATTTTACTCTTCTGAAAATATTTCTGGATATGCAGGTTGGCAGGCGTTTCTATTTCAGTAAGGCTCATGTGGTGCAGCTGGGGACACTGAAGCTCCCTGGGAAGAGAGAGTGAGGAACCCTGAGGCTGGGCCTGGCCTCGCCTCACATCCCTGAGGCGCCCGCCTGAGGCACGGCGGCACTGCGTGCTGCGCCGGGGGTCAGAGCCCTGGTTTCCACAAAATAAATAGTAATACTAATAAATATAACCGGGCCTCTCCTCATTTTAAAAACCTGGTAAGGCGTTAAAGCGCTCCCAACAACCAAATGAAGCGAATATAGCTTACTGCTAAGAAAGCCACTCAGGCCTTGGCGGGAAGTGAGGAGGTACGGCAGCCAGTTGCCTTTCCTCAGGCCCGCTCGACTCCTTCCTGCTGCTCCACCGTGCCCTGATGGGATGCTGTGGAAAGCCCTATCTTCTTGTAAGTGTCTCCATAAAAGTCTTCCAGCAACCTGGTGTTGGCCTGAGAGACTGCTGCCACACATTGCGTGACATTTTTCGGTGATTAAAAGGGACTGGAAGGACACCAGGCAGAACAAGTGGGTGTAAGAAACAATAATGGTAATAAGTCTACTTTTGCATAGGAAAAAATCTTGAGGGAGTGTTCTTGATGGGCAGCTAATTCTGCAGCTGTTTCTGGGGAAGAATAATCCAAATTATTTTCTATGATATTCTAAATATAGAAGTTACACAGTACAAAAATGTGAAAGCAAAAAACAGCACCACTTGCAGTGAAAGAGGAATACTGAGAAAGATGGAGCTTCTTTTTTCATAATATAAGAGGAAACATGGTAAAGAGCCAGAGTGTAGTCATTAAAAGTACTGAAAAAGAGCATTGATTTCCAGCTCTGCTCTTCACCCAGTATGTGAATCTAGACTCATGCCTATCTACTGAAATCATATTTTTACTGAAAATCTGAAATTGTAGTAAAAGCTTTTCCTTTTTAAACTCTTTTTAGAGCATTTTAAAATAGAAGAAAGTGACCTCATTTATATATTAAAAATTATACATTTAAATAGCAAATTATCTGGCTTGCTTAGAAATAATTATACATCTCAGTGATTTAAAGATGACTCTTTTTTTTGTTTCAGACAAATAAGTGGATTGACATCTGATTTCCTACTTCTGTTGGCCAAATGCACCCAAGTTACAGTTGCCCCTCACTGCAAGGGTATGGAAATGTCATGCTGCTTTTGATAGTAAGTCAAACATTTCTAATACTGAATTTTTAAATTTCTGTAGAGTATAGATGTGAAAGTCAGCAAATTAAAGAAAAAAAACGGATGTATGAGGCATCCTGGCTGCAGTGTTCTGGAGAGCTGTGACAGGACCAACAAACTGTGAAGCTGTCTCCTGTAACACAGTGGAGCCACGTGCTCTGACTGCATACAAAGATCAGGCGGTTAAGAACATCAGGAATTATTTAAAAATACAATTATAAAATAATAAGGCAGTTTTATCATGGGGATTGATGATCCCGCTGACATCTGCCGACGTGAAGTTTGAATTCATGTACACTGTGAATGAATTTGTGTTTCAGTACCAGATAAATCCCAGTGGCTAAGAGTAGGAACTGGTTTGTTGTAGTGGTTATACTTGATTTATAACACTATAACATACCTGAATTCATATTTTGGAATATGTCTAATATGTACATGCGTTAATTGAATTACAACAATTCAGATGGAGAAAAAAAGAATAGGAGGGAATAGAATGGAATAAAAAGACAATTCACAATGTAAATAACAGGTGAGTAGATTTTTGTTTTCTTCAGTGTAATATTGTTAGAAATGTCTGGTACATAAAAGAAAGGATAAATTATTACATCAAATTACAAAGAAATTTAAACACTGGATTTAGACCCCTGGGATACAAGCAGATGCCTTTTTCCCCTATAGCCATTTATTGAACATGAAGTTGGATACCCCCCACCCCCAACTCAAAATACCCATTTGAGAGGCATCAAAGTACAATGATGGATAAGTGCAGGACAACGAGAAAACCCAAAACCTTAACAGAAACTGCTTCCTGTCAGTATTTTGACTCCAGTCATTATATTTTAACTTGTGTAAATTCTGTGTACCTTCATTTCAGTTGGCAAAAAGTTATACTGGAAACAACAATTGTTCAGCCTGCAGAAGAGAAGGCTGCGGGCAGACCTGATTATGGCCTTTCAATACCTAAAGGGGGCCTATAGGAAAGATGGGGAAAATCTTTTTAGTAGGGCCAGCTGTGACAAGACAAGGGGTAATGGTTTTAAATTAAACCAGGGTAGGTTTAGACTAGATATAAGGAAGAAGTTCTTTACAATGAGGGTGGTGAAACACTGGAACAGGTTGCCCAGAAAGGGGGTGGAGGCCCCATCCCTGGAAGCATTCAAGGACAGGTTGGACAGGGCTGTGAGCAACCTGATCTAGTTAGCGGTGTCCCTGCTCCTGCAGGGGGGTTGGACTAGATGACCTCTAGGGGTCCCTTCCAACCCAAAACATTCTATGATTCTATATTTCTGCCTGTCATTACATTTGACAATAGCTTACATTTGAAATAAAAATAAGACTCCTGAGTTAGAAAGTTCTGAGGGGAATGGACCCCGCTGCCTCCTGTGTAAGAGCCACCCCGGCCTAACACTCCTTTGGTCCAAGTCTTACGCAATGGGACATGATGAGCCCCCAGGCTAGGAACTGCTCAAGGGACAATTCTGGTATTTGTTTTGCAAAGTCCGAATCTCACTACGTGACTTTGCTTTCTCTTTTTTTGAGCCTAGTGTCCAAAGGCTAATTAAATAGAGTTCGGAGTCGAAGAAAATACGTTTTTTTGGATTGCATATTCTTCAGAGCATTCTTCTCCCCAGTAGTGTCCCTTCCAAAAAGTGACTTTGAAGGATCCTGTACTACCTGATACTATGAGCTAAATTTATTTTACTTCTTACAGTCACCTCTGCTGTGACAGTTTCTGCCATTTTGCTAGTCTTAGCTTTACATCTCAAAAGCATTCCTTTTCCACTTACCTACATGGTGCATTTCACATGCAGGTGAAGCTGCAAGAGAGAGAAAGAATAGGGCTGTGTCTGGCAGCATATCAAATAACTCCTGGGAGCAGAGCAGAGAGCCCCATTTAGGCAGGAATAGATTTTGGGATTAGAACTCCCATGTGATGAAGTTAATGGCTTAAGCATTTGGATGAATAACTAATTTATGACAAGGCAAAATCTTTCATCAAATTAGTGTTTCTCTGCACTCTCCTGGGCCATATCCTGTATGTTCTAAATCAGCACCGTTTTTTGATTTTGTAGGGCAGTTGCATAGGCATCTTCCTTCTCCACAGCTTTTTTCATGAGAACTGATAGTTCATCTTCATACACATCACCTGTCTTGTTCTCCAATTATATGATCCAAGAAAAAGTAGTTTTTTCCTTTTAGAGGAGAAAAAGGAGTGACGGTCCACTAAACAGAAGGGGAAAGTAACACTTGTTTTCAGTTTACAGAGCACAAATAAAAGTTGATGGCAGCAGTCCGTAAGTTCAATGAAGTACAATGACTCAGAATTTAAGTTACACATAGGATTTATTATTTTCTGTCATACAGAAATCAGCTAAGAATCTTCAGTATGTAGCATGGGGAAGAAAGCTTGTGGGACTATGCAACCGTACAGAGATTCTGGAAACAGAAGACCGTGTTCACAAGGAGTCATTTGGAAATATGGTTATTTAGGCCCCAGCTAATTATCTGGGTTTGAAAAGCAAGCAGGTGGAAAACATGCAAGCATTCAGTTTGAGAGCTTAACAACCCCCCTCACCTTCGCAAAGACTCAGAGGTCAAAATATTGTAGGACCACAAAGCCATGGACTACAGGTAGTGACTTGAACTTTTCTCCAAATGCATCCCATTATACATATATAGGATTAATCTTGACTACTAGAACACGATAATCCAGAAAATAGAGATTGCAGTTTCCTTCTCTACCACAAAGATACAGGAGGACATTTTGTTACAGATACGAAGTTTGACTTATAGGTGGGTCTCATGTTCATGGACATGAAAATTACCTCATTCTATGAAGGTAACGAAAAGTTTTTACACTACCTACACTGAATCTAGCATGTATATATGGATTTTCCTATCTTAGGCATATTGATGTAATTCTACTGAGGCAGGATGACATGCCATACTCAAAAGAGGGTTATAAAAAAAAAAAAAGAAGAGTTAAAGTGATTTCATTAAACACAAGTGTAAGAAAATCACACAAATTACTAAATAAGGATGGCATAAATGAGGATGTGGTAGATTTAAGCCATTTGGTGAGATCAGTCTCAAAACTGGCTTATATAGTTAGAAAGTAAGTTACATGAGCCAAAATTTTTAGTCGGGTTACCAGCCTTTCTGTTCGGACACTTGAAAATATCCTGATTTTTATAAATGTGGATCTGATACCACTCACACTAATTTCAGCGGGAGACAAGAAAAAGCCAGAGTCACTTTTACTTGCGTGCATAAAGATAAAACCTAAGGGACTTCCTGGGTAATTGGGCTCAGTCCCCAAATTTGGACATGCAAGCCTCTGTTCTGGTTTACCAGAATATGCACTCACTCTCATCCGGTTAACAGTCATCTTCTGTTAACATACAAAAACTATTCTGACCATCGATGTCCTTGTTAAATGTATCTAGTTACTGAGTTATAGTCAACCCCCCCAAAAAATATTGAGGCTTCAGTTATTGAAGATCTGATCAGTATTCATATTTTACTGCGCCATAGCGAAAGGCCTTTGGTTGCACGTAATACAAAAAATTAGATTTCTTAGGACTTTGATATCTCTAATGGAATGGTCTTCTGAGCTGGGAACTTGAGCAGTAAATCAAGGAGAACAGGGAAGCAACTTAATGGAATTCCATTATTAATTATTTCATACTTTAACTGCATCCAGATGGCTCATCAGGATTAGAACCTCATTAAGTTGAGTACCATATAAAAACACAAGTATGCACAGTGACTGCCCCCAGTGCCAGTTCCATTACCCTTTCTGAAAAGGGAATGTTAACCTGAAAGCCAATCCGCAAATGTTTAAGTGGATTCGCTCCCATGTTTGCAGAAATGTGGCCTAATTGACTATAGATTGCAAAGCAAAGTATAAAAGGAAGGTCAAATGCAAGAAATACACACGTGTGTGTGTGCATGCACTGTATACCTTCTTCAGTTACTAGTTACCAAATTTAAAAAAAAAAATAATAAAAAATTATCAAACCCAGTATTTTTCCCCAATAGATATCCACTTTTTATATAAATCACTTTCCTCCGTTACATGTTTAGTTTCCTTAAATACACGTAGGAGTTGTTGATAGAAGCTTGGTTTTAAATTAGTCAAAGAATAGATTTGAGCTGTAATTTTTCCAAAATTGAACACATTAAAGCTTATTTTTCAAAAGTAGCATATATAGTTTGTGCTCAAGAGATAGAGCTGAAAACCAGTATGGATTTTCTGCAAGAGATGAAAGCTTTTAATTATATTTGATTTCAAATCTAGAAGCCCATTTCCATGCAATCATCTGTTGTAACAAAGCTGCTACTTCTCATTCTATCTTTTGTCCTCAGTTCCTGTGTAGTTCCGGCAAAAATGTCATCTATCAATGTACAAATGTTAAATCACCCCAGTCATGAAATATTAACAGAATGCATACAATTATGACTCCTAAATTGAAGTCTTTCTAGCTGCAATTTGTCACATCTACAATTGTACAATGTCATTAGTAGAGTAAAACTAGAAAACTATGAAATAGATATATTGGAAAAATAGCATTTCTAGAACATGCATTTAATACAGGTAAGCCCTGAAGCTGCTTCAGCTGAGGTCGACAGGAGTTCTTCCTTTGACATTAGTGGAAGCAAAATAATGACTTCTTAAATGTCTTGGTTCTCAGCAACAGATGAACAATGTAATAGCAGTTCGTAATTCCTTCATGCAAAGGTTTAGATTTTCTGGAGCAAAGTAGAATGAGCATGCTATTGATTATTTTCCAGACAGGCAATAATATATATTCAAAGTTTGAAAACAGTCTCCTGCAATCTGTACCTAGAACAGGTGCAGGTGGGTTTTTTGGTTGGTTTTTTCTGTTTTGTGTGGTGCTGTTTTTTTTTTTTTTTTTAGAAACTGAGATAGACAACGTTAGGGGAACAGATCCTGTGGACAGTCTGTGTGAGAAACAGGAGAAGTTCCCATGCCCACTAATTCCTCAAAAATAATAATAAAGTTTGCAAACTCAAATATTCAGCATAATTTTGAAATAATTTAAAACCTTAAAAAGTAAAGCATGGAGAAAAATTATTAAACGTGCACAGTTCTGTCACATATAATCCAGAACTTAAAAATACTGCAAGCAAGCCATATTTCTTGAACTTCATTACTAATCTATTCCAACAACACCCAAAGTAGTTTTATAATATTTTTAATCTCAAATAACTATTTCCTGTGAGCACCATGTTCCTCTCTGCTGCCTGTATTACCATTTTACATGCTACATACCTTGACATGGCCCTAGCAACCTGATCTAACTTTGAAATTACCCTGCTTTTAGCAGGAGGTTGGACTAGAGATCTCTGGGGGTCCCTTCAAGACTGTGTTTTTCTGTAATTCTATGATTTTTCTCATTTTCTCTGGAATTCTATGATTCTACAGCAAGTTTTTCTAACAGAAAAATGATGAATATTTGGAGTGTCCTTTCCACTACCCCTACCACAACAGCAGGTGCTTGTCTTTTCTTATGCTCTTATCTGATCACTTGTGGTAGCAGCCCAGACTGCCTGCTGATCTCATTTCATGCATACTTATCTCTCCTGATCTTCTCTTTCGGTCTTAGCCTCCTCATTTCTTTTGCTACACTATATAAATATGGTATCATCTCATGCCTTTAAAAAAACAAAACAAAACAGGTTATTAACTGATGTGCTTTTCTAACTGTTGCCCCTCTCAATGGTTAAGCTCAGTTTCCTTCCTGCAATTCTGTCATATGCTACTAAACCAGCATCTGCCTGCCTTTCATTCTGAGGAAGCCAGTATCTCATTTTGATCACAGACCTTAAGAACATGTTCTTAACCAGCCTCAAAACTGCTATTTTTACACTCATCTGTCTTGGGGCCATCTTCAATGAAGCCAACAGTGCTTTTTCCTTGTATTTGAACTCTGTCACCATCTTTGTCCTTTGCTTCCCTAATTGGTTTTTGTTTGGGTTTTTTTTGAGCAGATAATTTGGAAGAGCCTCCACTTTCTTCAGTTTCCTGTAGTGGTCTAAGCTTTTGGGCTTCAATTTCCTACTCTTTTGTCTCTGCAGTATGTCTGTTGGTGATTTATTCCACAAATACTGTTTTAGCTAGCATCTACATGTGAAAAACCTGCAGGGCTGCTTCTCCAGTCCAGACTAGACTCTAATTTTCCAAGCAAAAAAACTAATTATGCCTATTGACATCACCTTTTGGAGGTCTAGCCTATTTTAAACTTAATACATCCATACACAGAAAACATCTTTCCTTATTTTTCCACTTTCATAACATGTAATTCAAGGTAGGCAAAACCAGGGTCATTATCTTAAATTCTGATTTCTGAGTCCTCTCTTCTAAATTTCACTGATATTTCGCTAAATTTCTCATTGCTACCTGTAGGATACAGACAGCTTTACCTATTCACGTAATCTCTTGTAAGCTACCGGTATCACCTGTTGACGGCAACATTGTCTTCTCAGGCTTTGACAAAGCAATTTCACTGCTCTTACTCATTCAAAGTACTACCGCAAATGTAAATTCTTAAACATTATTTTGACTACGCCATCTCTTTTATTTAGTTTCTCCACTGGTGCTCTTTCACTGTGTCATCAGATGTACACATCAGACGTACACACCTCTTTAGAGGTCGTTCAGGACCTCTTTATCACTATTCACGTGGAGCCCATGACACTAGCTTTGATTGTTTATGTAAGAAGTTTTCAAACAAACCTTTGTCCATTCTCTCATTTTGGAGAAGAGGCCAATACAGTGGCAAAATCACCATCAGGAGGCTTGAGCAGGGCTCCGGAGAATTCAAGTGACTGATACTGTTAAACAGATAGCCACCTACACCAGCTTAAAGCTTGAACACGCTCCTGAATGAGGAGGGACTACTAAATCAGGTCAAACAGGAACAGAGTTTAGATGACATACAGGGCTGGTCAGGAATATAGATCCTTACACCTCCCCCATTACCCAGCCTCCAATTTTCACCCTCCAATCTCCTTTTCTCATAACACATACAGAATAAAAAAAAGACAGTATTTAAATTGATGGTGTGCTGAAACCATTGCTAATCAGCTAGACAAATATCGAGACTCCCATTTTACCTTTCCATCCATGTTTTTTTTGTCTTTTGTCTTAACTTGGATTATAACCACTCTGTGGGAAGTCCTTGTTTTTGTTCTGTGTTTGCACAATGTCTAGCCAGTGGGACGCTGGTCTGATTAAGCCTCGCAGGCACTCTGGTAACGCAAATTAAAAACAATACGGCCTTCTATTCCTGCTACTTCTACAGAGACTATTTGGCTGTGGGAAGCTGAATTCTATGGCTGCAAATGTACCAAGCGAACAATACACCAAATCCTAATCTCTGGTCTACTGCAAAACTATTAAAGGAATTGCAACAACATCACTGGGGACTTGAAAAGAGAGGCTAATTTAATTTTCATAGAACTGGAAAAGTAAATGCAAAGGAAAAAAACCAATTAACCTCCCTATACATGACTGTATTTCACATGACAGACATGGGACTTTGTGTGCCACTTTTCAGTGTTACTTTTTCATATGGGTAAAGCAAAAAATAGGCAAAAGGGACCCTTCTTACACTTTCTATCATTTTTCCTAATCCTTTATCTTCTCCTTTCCATCATTTAATTTTAACAAGTGAATGCCCACTACCAGAATATCATCAGGATTTTCAAGTTGATTAAACTTTATTTTAAACAACTTTAGTCTTTTACTCAAAAATTGAGAAAACACCATTCCTCATCCTTCTGTAAGAGCTTCTCTAAAGCTTCATCTTTTACTATGGCTAATACTATAGTTCTTTCATTTATCCAAAAGACAATCCACTGTCAATATACCTTGTAAACTTGAAGGTGAAAAATAGATTTTCTTGATGATCTACACTTCTAAAGGTTCTTCTAACTCAACCAATATGAAGAGTGGGGTAAAGACAGCATATTACATTTACAGTATTTTAAATTATAATACCTCAAACTATTCGTGCTGTTAAAAGCTAAAAGAATAGGGGAAAGATTATTCTTATGAGACTGAACAACTTCCTTTCATGAGTTTCAAGTCCTTTTTCTTCATTAACATAGAGAAAGGGAGGTTTTCCTTTTTTTTTTTTCCTGCCTTGATTTTAAAGAGCGAGATAAAAGTCTTCCTCCATTTAATTTGGGGAAAATAAAACACCACTTTTACTTCTGTATCAGAAGTTCAACAAAGCAGCTTTCTAGATAAACTATTTTGCCTCAGAGCTTTCTATTATGTCAAGTCCAAAGGTAAGACAAGTCATAACTTCTTTAGTCATATGCTGGGGCAGCTTCATATTTCCACACAACTGAGAATTTCTGACTATGAACGAAGAAATGAAGTTTCTGAAGAAAATTAAGGTGCACTGCTGGAATTGTGCAAAAGCTTGCAAAACTGACCATATTATCAGTGGTTACAGTTAGCTTAAGTTGTGCACTTATCTTAAATAGTTTTAATAAAAAAAAAAAGTTAGTAGCCTTTTACTGCTATATGGCACCCACTTCTGAAGGCACTTCTGTTAATGACTAAGAGGAGGTAGAATACTTTGCGTTTAGATTTTAAGCTGTGTGAAAGACAAGCCCTCCTATTTCCATAATGCAGATATCTTAGAGGGCCTAACCTTAGCAGGGAAAAAAACCTGTATGTTTCAGGAGTTCTGATTTGGTAAGAATTACAAATAGTTTCTCACACCCCTCCTCCCCCATCAAATTAGAAAAGACACTAAACAGTCCTATCCACACCCAAATTAATAGCCAAAAGCAGCAGAATGAACAGTACTGAGAAGCATATCCTATTTCACTCTTAGTCAGAAGAATGGTTATGTTGACATTTAGTCTTAATATAAAAGCTACACTAGAGGTATTAATCAAGATGCAAGAATTCCATTACCCCTCCAAAAATGTAGCATCTAAGAACAAACAAAACTAAATTCCTGAGCATCTTGCTATGCCTCAGGCAGCATCAGAAGGGTGCAAGTGTAATGAATTGGAGCCTGAAGGTAATTCTGTTCAACATCAGGCCTCTGATGTAACACTGACCATGACTTCAGACTGAGATGTACTTTTGGAGATACTGGATATACTGTTTTTTAGAACAGGAGCAGCATTCTACCAACTGCATTCTATTCATGCACTATGCCATTAAAAATATTTACTTAAATATGTGCATTTCCAAGAAAGAAACAGTGCTCTTCCTATAGCACAGACCCGCTGAAGTCTTACATTTAAAGGAAAGACAATTTAAAAAATTTATTGGAAACTTCTAAACAAAACAAACCAAAAATACAAAAACAAAATCTGGAAGAAACAGATGAAACAAGCTGCTCATATTAATAAGGCCTAAGGCAAATTCATATTGAAATATTTTCTTTGAAGATTAAGTATATGTTTCCATCATTTGAAGCAGCGTTGGCACACATCACCTTTCGACACAACCATTCTGAATCTTTATTGTTGTAAAATGAAGTCACCATATAGAGAGGGGGAAAAAAAGGAGGGGAATGGCTCTACTAATCGTGCAGTCACCTTTAAATTCTTGCTCAATAAGAATATTAAATGTCAGAAAGGAAGATAAAATGGAGGGTGGAAAGCACGATTTTTCTCTCATGTCATCTAATTTTTCTAACAATTCTAGAAAATACATGCTCAAAGTTCATTTTTAGAAAAGACATACATTTAAGTCTTGAAAAATTATTGTACTTGTGATTAAATCTAGATTATAAATTAACATATTTACCTCATTATATCAGAAAGATTGCCTCAGTATCAAGAATTGCTCGTTCTTGACTGATGCAGTATTTCATTATTGTATGGAAACAACTCATCAAAAATAGATTTGGGGAATAGGTTGGAGTTCAGTTGCAAACATTTGATCACCTTAATGATGGGTTTCCAGTTCAAGAATTGTCCATTCCCCTTGAGGGGACGAACAGTCTTCAGATGAAAAGCTTGCCACTGTAATGCTTGCTGAAGAATCATCAAGTGGAGACATTAGTTCAGTCCACCTACTGAATGTGTCAACTTGTGATGTACCCTGAGGATTCGAACCATCTCGTGCCAGAAACAGTGTCTGATTGATAAGACATTGTGCTAAGTTAAGGTCTTCAGGAACAGAGTTTTTGAAACCTATATTTGAGTCCTGCTCAGATAACAATTGCCTGAGAAGAGTCCAGTCCTGTTCTGCAAACTGCTGATCTTCAAAATCCACATCTAGAACTGCTGTTTCTGAATCCATCCTCTGCTCAATTGCTTCTCCAACATCCATCTCATATATTGGAGAAAGGGTTTTTGAAGGCCGATGCTCATACATGCAGGTTTGTGCCATTGTGTCATAATCATCTATGTCTCCTGAAATAATTCACAATACTGTACAATGTAAAAATTGTAGATGATCCTCCCCCTCAGGGCTGTGTAGAGCAAAATTTAACTCATTCAGGAAGGACAATCCAACCAGGTTAAAAAAGGGGGAATGGTTATACAAAATTGACAAAATTTGAGGCATTTATTTCCTATATAAAAAACAAAGTATGATTTATAAATTAAGTTAAAGCAGCAATCACCACTGGTAATTAACAATAACCTCCATAATTAAGTTTCTGATACAGAAAATGACAATGTAAATATACACTTAATGCACATGAAATTTCTCATTTACTACATAAATTAAATTTAGACCAGGAGGTGCATGGAGGGAATTAATAGAGAATGATTACTGAATGGTGACTCTTAAGCTATGTCAGCTTAGAAGAGAATTAAAAACAAAATTGTTTATCCACAGCTTATTTCTACACTGCACATGCAAGGGCAGCTGCAGGCAAGGGCAAGCAAACAGCAAACATAAAAAAAATAAAATAGTACAACTTTTAATGTCTTCTTGTTCTGTGATCTGGCTGAACATAGATCATCATGAGCATTTCATTACTCTTGAATACACAATAGTTGTAATCAACACTATTGTATATTTTTGATGCGATAAACAGACTGAATTATTGGTATAAAGAAGACAAAACACAAAACTAGACAAGTATTCATTTAGCTACGTGAAACAAGTTAGAACTTTTCTGTATATAAGCATTAGTTCTAAGTATAATCTCTCTTTAGGAAATAAGCTTTTACTGGTAAAATTTAGAATTTTAGACATCTCATAAGCTCTAAATCAGAATTCAAACCCGCTCCCACTGATGTATATGGCAAATATTCAGTTATATTCAGTGGAAGGAGGATCCAAATTTGTGTATAATATATAAATAAATAAATTACAACAATAATGCATATAGCTGTTCAGGTAAACAGTTCAGTGCGCTTTAATTAAGGTTATTACTGTAGTTATTGCACATCCCATTCAGACATACTATATGTTGTCAAGCAGACAAAACAAATACTAAGATTCCATCAAAAGCTGATGCTGTCAATGTTAGATTGGATCAAAAATAACTGAAGTACAGACAACTGCATCCAATCTTTCTTTTACCATTACACAAAATCTCTTTCCTTGTAGTCAAATTTCTCATTGAACAGCAGGGTATTGACGGATATTTCAAACAGACAAGCATTCTCTACCCAAGTGAAATACTTAAAAATATTTAAATTTAATATAGTTTCAGCCAAAATTACTTCAGTTCAGGATTCCAGACAAATTGCCAAAGCTTTCACTATTAATTTGTTTTTGAATGACTGAACGTTTCTATTTCTGTACATTACCTGGAAGTACATCAGTATTAGCGCATTCAGTAGCTGCTGGTTGACTGTCTCTCACTTGACCTTCCTGAGTCAGTATCTGATTCTTACTGGCTTCTATAGGTTTTGCAGAGCTGCTCTTTTGCCCATCAGAATTAGTTTCCCTCTGATGAAGATCCAAATGACATGGTCTTTCTTGAGATTTTGCATCACTGTCTAAATACTTATTGCACTGGTGAAATTCACTAGCAGCCTCATTCTTCATATTTACTTTTTGTTTTTCTCCTGGGCATGGACTAGCTGCTGAATCTGGGCAATCTTGTTCAGTCACTGAAGCACCTTGATTCTCCTTTCCTGGGATTCCAGTGCCATGAACATGTAGGAGAGAACTTTCACTTTTATCTGATCTATCGTCTCTATCCTTACGCTGTTTGCAATCCAGGATTCCATCTTCATTTTCCAGTGAGTATTCTGAATAAAAAGTCTTTCCATGGTGCTCTTGAGAAACACTGTCAAATACTTCTGAAGGAGTAAGAGAATCTATTGAATGCTGACGCGAAGTATGAGTTTCCACTCTATCGTCAGATCCCAATTCTTCGCATTCATCCACTGAAAGTAAAACAGACCGTTTGAAATTTTTAGTTTTAGAAAACTCTTGACTTGCAGTATCATTTTCGGTTGCATCTTCAAAAGCTAAATTATCAATTCCTTGGAACTGTTGAACAGGAACTTTTGATGGAGGGAAGTTTTCTGCAACATTCTCTGCTTCAGATCTGTCATCTTCTGTTTCATCAGCAGAAGAAGAAACTTGATCTGCTTCCTGAGTAAACTGTGCATTGCCAAAAGCAGAACTTTTGCTTTCCCTAGTATTGGTCCTTGCACTTTCCTGATGGGACCAAATTTCAGGTCTTTTTCTTGGTACTTCATCATCGCTCGTTGAATTAACACGGAAGAGATCAGAACCCTCTTTTTTCATTTTCACTTCTATTCTTAGGCTGCTGTCATAAATTTTTAATTCCTCAGGTGTACTTGTGTCACTGCTGCTTCTTCCAAGAAAATCGTGGCATAACATAGTGCTGCATTTAGAAATCCCTCTTTCATTGGATCCTTCATCATCCTGAGAGCCTCCAGCATCATAATCTTCTGATCTTGGTTTTATATCATCAGAGGATGTGGTGGCACTGCCAGTATCTGATTCAGGACTCTCTTTTGGATCTAGTGCACCAGTACTCCAGCGGTCCATGAAGGGAATTTCTGCATTTTCATGGTTTTCTGCCATTTCTGTAGGATCTATAGGCTCTGTGTAACTAGGTGAACATTTTTCTGTTATTTGTTCTGTGGAACATTCTGAAACATCATCTAAATCTGCTGTAACTGATTTGTATTCAGTCAAGGCTGATGTATCACACAGCTCGTCAGCTGTAAGAAATCCCTCCATATGAATCTGAGGAGACGATGCCTCATCCTCTTTACTGGTTCTGGAAAAACTTGGTAAAGCATTTTCACCATAGTTAGGACCTGTTTCGGAGTTTAATTTATCACTTTGTTCAGTACAGACTTTAGTTGCTTTTGAATGTTTCGCCAGTTCTCCTGAAGCAGTAGCCTTTTGGTTGGTTTCCTTGGAAAAGTCTGAGTGTCCATCACTGGAAGACTCTGCATGACAGTGAAATTCAGCTGCAATGTCATCTTTGTCTGCATCTTCAATCTGTTTAACTCCAGTCTGATCTCCACTGATTTGTCTTGCTTCCATTTCATTTTGCAGTGAAATGTGCACCTTAGAAATAGTTTTTTCTGTAATTAGAGGAGAGGAAGATTCGGATTGTATTTTATATTCCCCATTTTCAGAAGAATCTGATAATTTTTCTTTATTGGGGTGACAAGACGGCAGCAGTTTATTTTCGCTGCTACTTTCCATCACAGATTTTGAAGATTCACTTTGCTTTCCAGAAGAGCATTCATTATTGTCATGAAGCTGACCTGCCACAGCATCAGCCATGTTTTTTTCAAGTTTCTGCCCTGAACTTCTGTGCTCAGGGGCGTGCACATTCTTCTGGACAACAGGAGATTCACTCCTTGAATGTTTTTGGACAGAGGACTGAGATTTTAATACAGATTGCCCAGCTGGTTTTGGTTTTGGGTCTTTATTATTCATAATCTCAGCATGCTTTGATGGAGCTGGAGTTTTAGGTGATACTTTTGCAGTGGCTTTTGCTACAGGTGTTTGTGACTGCTTAACACTCTTCTTCTTGGCTGAAGGTTGTTTTTCAGGGAGTGTTGTCTGAACTAGATGTTGCAAAACATTTTTGTCTTCATTATGTTTTGGAGACATCCCTGATTTCAGTGAATTTGGTGATTCTCCCTGAGGTCCTAACAAACAGTAGAAAAAAAAAAGACTATAAAGATTGTATATACCAGTCAAAGTATATTCACCAAATTTATGCTAGTGTTTGTTTATGTTGACAAGCAAGTTACTCAACTTTTTATGTAACTAAAAGTTTTAAGGCCTGTTAAAGTATTAAGAATTGAGATCTTAAACAAATACTCGACAAAAATACCATCTTGCATTTACATGATATCTTTAAAACTAAAGCACTTTATAGACTATACATAAAGGAATTACTGCAGCCTGTAACCAAAGTAGTCATCACTGCAGTAGAAAGCAGCAGCTATCTAATCATGCATAGAAACACTGCACAGCAGCTTAGCACAGGAACTGATGAGTACTGTATTCAATTTATTCTATAGAGGAAATGAAAGTAGGCAGAAAATAATTACATCAGTTATAATGTGATTAGAATACCGGAATTAATATCCCTGCTCACTCAGAAAATACTGCAAGATCTTTAATGACCACAAATTGACAGGACCTGTGTTTTCTATATGCATTTAAGATAATATAACTTGAATATTCTTTCCCCTACCCAGTAAGTGCCAAGTCCAAATGGGATTAAAACGAGCCCCATCCTTAACACTTTGTATGTTTATAAAGCATGGTTTCCTCTCTGATCTACAATGTCATTTCCCACACTTGATATAAATAGCTATTGAAATCAAGTATTCATCTGTGGGGTAGGTCAGTATCAGCAGCGCTACCCCTAGGGGGGATCACCAAAAAACAGGAGAAAAAGCTAACAGTTCTTGAAGAAGTCTGCAGTCCAGATCTTTGATGCATATTATAAATTCTTGACCTACACAATTTCTTGAACTCATTCATGGTTCCAAGTACAGAAGTGCAGGGCATCAGCAAATAAAAGACGCTGCAAAGCAGATTAAACAAGCAGAAGAAAACACCAATTGGCAGTGAAGACCATCGTGTAGATATTTTGAAGTTGACAGACATTCATTTGCATTTTACGGTTTAGGATTGTCACCAAAAGTGAAATATGGAAAATAAACAGAATTGTTTGGAAGAGAGAGACAAAGCAGACAAAGGGCAGACTGTTTCATTGCTATAGGAAACTTTACCTTGGTTCTTGGGAGAATTGGTAGGTGTGTTTTGAGCCTTTTGCTGTGCTGCAGAATTGCTACTCACATTCCCTTTTTTCTTTAGAACAGTTTGTACATTTTGTTCATTACACACTTTTCCAGTTGATTTTTTTGTCAGACTGCAAAGAAATTACATCAATTATTTCCAAGCTTAAGATCCATCAAGATTTAATTATATTTAAACAAGTAATATATGGTATTAATATGTGCAAATATATGTAAACATTGACAATGCAACCTAAAAGGTATACTTTTAGAAAAAACCAATTCGCGTATATATAATATGTATACACACACAAATGACCCATTTCACAATTTCACAGTGCTTCAGCTGTCTTCCTGTCCAGTTTAATCTAAGCTATCCCAGAAATGATAAGTTTACACCACCTTGTGTAGTCATTAACTGTTCCAGTGTGCAGAACTCTGAATGACCTATAACAATTTTAAGATTATTAGCATGAAACAATCCATCACGAAAGCCAAACCAATTTTATCTTTACAGCAACGTTTCCAATAGCTAACTCAAAGTGTTTTGCTACTAACATACAAGAGACAACCATTCTCAGATTTAAAAAAAAAAAAACAAAAACACACATCTTGTCTTAACAGTAAGTTTAACAGTTCACCTGAAACTTTCAGAAACATACACACACATATATGTAAAGCAGCAGATCGATTTGTAACATACCTGCTTGTTGTGATATTAGCCTCAAGCTCAGTCTTTTTTTTTTTATTGGTGACTCCATTTGATGTCTTCACAGATGACTTTGTTTTCACTATTGTAAAGTAAAGTCAAAGTTAATTACAGGGGGAAACGCATTGCAAGTAAGTACTGAAAAATTTCTAATATACTAAGATCGGCTATTGAAAACAGCATAGATGCTAAACTTGTAAAACTTTTACCATTTTAGATGGCTAACTTGATCATAAAATTAAGTCAGTTAATAGAGGAGAAATGTAATATTCTTATCTCAAGATAATATTCATTTACAGGGGAAGAAGGTGGCTCTTATCAATCTATAGTAGATTTTTTTTAAAGCTTCCCAGGCTGGTTTTCAGTGTACGACCAGCCTGAGACAAATCAGAAGGGGACTTAAAAAAAAAAAAAAAATAAAAATTACCAGTCTGTTTTTTCCCTTCCTCGACCAATTTATCCTCTTTGGGTTCTTCTGTTTGTTCACTGGCAGTCTGGATATCTACGCTTGCGTTTGCTGACTTGCTGGAAGTTCCTGCCACAGTCACTAAGGAGGGAGATTCCTTCCCTGTAGGTTTTTTCAATGGTTTTGTTTTGATCTGCACACTTGAAGTTACTGTCAGCACTTTAGGTCTGGCACCTGCAATTTTTCCTTCATGGTTCTTTAGTCCTTTGCCACTTCCTGAATTTTTCTGTCCACCTGCAGATGATGTCTTTTCTATATCTTGCTTGGTAAGCATGCTTTCAGCCTTCACATTTCCATTATTTTCTATTTTTGTCTTTATAACAGCCCTAGCCTTTGGCGAAGCAGCTTTTTCCCCAGGTTTTGAATCCTTAGTAATCTTGGAAACTATTTTTTTGCCATCTTTCCCCTTCACATCCTCGTGCTTTGAAGCCTTATTAACAGTGTTTCTATTGGTGCTTGATGTATGTCCAGATGCTCCTAATCCATCAGATTTCATTTTATCCTGATTAGTGGAAGAATCTCCCCAGCAGTCTTTCTTGCTGTGTTCTGTCCAGGAAGTATTCCTTATGCTACCAGATTCAGTAATAGATTTGTTTAGCTAGGAAAAAAAAGCATCAGGAAAAAAAAAGACAACATTTATAACACCGAACTATCCACAGTCTTTCATTTCTGAAACACAGCTACTTTTTTTAGTAGTACATTAATCTAAAGCAACAAGAATCAGCATGGAAATAATTAAAATATATATATATATATTTTAGCTCAAGATTGTTGGCTTTCAAAGATATAAAAGTACCAGAAATAACTAGAGCACCTAGTAAATCTCATGTAAAATACTGCTCTATAGAGAGGATATAAAAATATTTAAGTAGAGTTTCACTTTTACTTTGGACAAATTACTCTGTAATATTTATTTTTATTATTGGTGTCTGCTGAAGTAAGAAAACTTTTGAGTCATATGTGCATATTTTCCTAAGAGCAATAAAGACTATGAATTGTTACAAAAATGAAAACAAAAATGTATTTGTAATACATGTGATGTTTTTAACCATTACCAACAGCATATCCACCAGCTAAGTGACAATATTTATTCTCCCTCTCAGGTAAAGATATGTACTGAAACATGGAGAGTGATTTGCATGAAATGGAATCTGTGTGATACCATCCTCATTGCAATGTCTCCAAGACCTTCAAATCATGTGAACCCCATACTGTTTTTCTACCAAATAGCAATGCAGTTTTGAGTGTGAGTCTCAGAAGAAGAGTTGTTGAGGGCACTAAAAAAAAAAATATTTTTTCAGGGCAGGGAGTGTAGTGGACTCAATGCTGTGGTGGCAGAGATTCATTAGCTCAGTAGCAAACCATTTGCTCTGGGAAACAGATCAGTTTCATTACATAGCAACAGGGGAATGTGAGATTCTGAACACAAATTCCTGTCTTTTATTTGAGCTTATCTGTTTGAAAATGTAGCAGAGCATAGGCTGAGTCCTAAGATGTTTCTGGTAATGGACATTACTGATTCTGCAGAAATAACAGTTCACCAAAAAACCCCCCAAATTTTTCAAAAGCAAGTTCCATTAAATAATATGACAAATTAATACTGTATTTAAAACAGATGATGAAAATAGTTTTGTTTGCAAGCTTCTGAGTATTTTTAATGTTTGGATACAAAAACTTTACCTGAGAACTAGTGAATACAGGTTTTTTGCCAAGTCTTCGGTCATCACCCTTGTCAAATGCAGCTGTAAAAGGAACAAGCAGTTTCTTTACTATTTAGCAGGAAAGAAGGGAGACAGAAAACAATCCAGCCTACTCCATAACATCATCTCAAACCAGAAAGCAGTTCTTTGGGTCCTGTAATTATTTCAGGAAGGCCAATTTTGATGACATGGCAAATGTGAAGTGGTACATGGTTATGTTCAGAACAAAAAACGTGGTATCTTTAATGAGGTCACATGGCCATAAGCAAGTTGTTTAACTCTTCTCTTTCCCCATTTCCAAAGTAAGACACACTTCTGTTTATCCAAGCTTAGCTCACTTAAAGCTTGCAGTGCACTGAGACCTTCGAAAGCATACACAATTTACAGAATAGAAACAACCTCAAATTTAGAGTACTAATGACTTAAGTGATGTACTGTAATTTAGAGAATATTTATTCACACTTGTTTTTCTACCAAATAGCAATGCAGTTTTGAGTGTGAGTCTCAGAAGAAGAGTTGTTGAGGGCACTAAAAAAAAAAAATATTTTTTCAGGGCAGGGAGTGTAGTGGACTCAATGCTGTGGTGGCAGAGATTCATTAGCTCAGTAGCAAACCATTTGCTCTGGGAAACAGATCAGTTTCATTACATAGCAACAGGGGAATGTGAGATTCTGAACACAAATTCCTGTCTTTTATTTGAGCTTATCTGTTTGAAAATGTAGCAGAGCATAGGCTGAGTCCTAAGATGTTTCTGGTAATGGACATTACTGATTCTGCAGAAATAACAGTTCACCAAAAAACCCCCCAAATTTTTCAAAAGCAAGTTCCATTAAATAATATGACAAATTAATACTGTATTTAAAACAGATGATGAAAATAGTTTTGTTTGCAAGCTTCTGAGTATTTTTAATGTTTGGATACAAAAACTTTACCTGAGAACTAGTGAATACAGGTTTTTTGCCAAGTCTTCGGTCATCACCCTTGTCAAATGCAGCTGTAAAAGGAACAAGCAGTTTCTTTACTATTTAGCAGGAAAGAAGGGAGACAGAAAACAATCCAGCCTACTCCATAACATCATCTCAAACCAGAAAGCAGTTCTTTGGGTCCTGTAATTATTTCAGGAAGGCCAATTTTGATGACATGGCAAATGTGAAGTGGTACATGGTTATGTTCAGAACAAAAAACGTGGTATCTTTAATGAGGTCACATGGCCATAAGCAAGTTGTTTAACTCTTCTCTTTCCCCATTTCCAAAGTAAGACACACTTCTGTTTATCCAAGCTTAGCTCACTTAAAGCTTGCAGTGCACTGAGACCTTCGAAAGCATACACAATTTACAGAATAGAAACAACCTCAAATTTAGAGTACTAATGACTTAAGTGATGTACTGTAATTTAGAGAATATTTATTCACACTATTTAAGGAAGCGATTAATTACATTAAATTACATCAGTTTTCAAAAGTAATAAAGTCAAAATATCTAAATGCACACAGAAAGATCATAGTGACTCTTTAGCTAGCATGCAGCGTAATGTCATGAGAGTGAGAGTTATCCCTGTGATTGTCATGTGGAATTTTCAGGCAGTGAATGGCTTTTTTTTTTTTTTTTTTTTTGATTGGTCTACTCTGGGAGGGAAGCATTTTTCGATAAAGCCTTTAAATCAATTGCTCTTGCAGAATACAAAAAGGATATTTATAGACACTGTACAGACCCAGAATCGATAAGCTTTCATTTTTGTTTGTATTAATGTTTCAGATGAAAAAAGGTTTTGCAGAAAATATATTAAAAGACTTAAGCATTCAGTGCCTCATGTTCTGACATACTATTTATACATATAAAAAATGTATCCATGTATAACACAAAGTCTGCTGAATTCTTATTGAAGATACTAACAATAATTTTTATATAGGTCTGTAAAAATCACACAAAAGATATGCTGAAAATGGCACCCCAGGGATCTAATCCTTTTTCTAAGAATGACTCTGCACATTAATACATACCAATATATTAAGACAAAATCCATATATACTTGTGCCTAAGAAAACACAAGACATGTTGTGAATGAAAAAACCCACAATATCATCTGTCTTCTTTTGGCATTTTTCCTCCTCTATTATAGCCTTCTAATTCTATATAGGTTAAAACCCTAGAAGATAAACCACCACCAGAAATCTTTTAAGATGAAAGTTGATTTAAGTTATCCTAGATATATTTCACCTGAAGACTAAAATTTGTCTACCAGTATTCTGTGATTGCTTTGCTTGTAATTAAAACCAGATAATTTATGCAAACATTTCAGCCTATCTGTTTATATATAAAATGTATGCTAGCTCCAAGTTATAATTCAATCTAAAAGAAAACAAAACAATTTCTGGCAAGATGGAGTTTGGACAACTAAGGCACACCTAGGACTAAAATATGTTTTTGTATTGAAAGCACCAGTGCAAAGCAGCCTAAACATTATTTATAATAAGGACTCGATCATCCTAAAAATAAAACATCACAAAACAAAAAGAAACCACCCTTGTTTTGAAAGCCAGCTCCTCAGCTTCTGAAGGATTTTATAAGCCAGCAAGAAATCACAAACCTGTTTTATACAGCGGCCGTGAGATGTTATTTGACTACATCCCTAAATCATGCTTAGAAAGACTGTCACTGCATCCTTCTCACAGCATGTAATTGTAGAATAAAATTTTCATCTATCTATAGGCATAAACAATTTTATAACTATCATATCCTGGCTACTAATGTCTTTAACAAAAAGGACACCCAAATGTTTATTTCTCCTTTGAATCAAAAGCGACTTGATTTTAGAGAAGTCTTCAACACATTCTTTTCTTTTACAACACTGTACTGCCAAAGCTAACATTCAGCCATAACCCGAACTCCATCATCAGTTCCGCACCCTCAGAATACTTGTGTACTTCAAAACAAAGAAACGTTCGGAACAAAAACTCCTTTTTGTTGGAAGTGCTGCCCGTTACAATTTTGCGAGAACACCAGGCAGCTCCTTCGGGGCTCCCTGCAGCAGCATACACAATATCACAATACCCATCAACTGTGAAGCCAGGCTCTCTGCATTTACTCACAGTGCACGAGATAAGCATTATGCAAGAGACAAGCCATATTTATACATTATGTAGAGAACGATAAAGGACAGAAACGGAATTCATAGAGCGGATAATCTGCTTTGTGCAAATTTAATTCATCCACAGTGCTTATCTCCTTAAAAATGAGACAGATAAGGTTTTTAATCCTACTGCAGTACTTTCAATAATTTAGAGTAGCTGTAAATAAGAATAGAAACAGTCTCCATGGTTTTCGTTCCTATTATATATGCACTCCTAAAAAGAAAAGCAGAGGAGACTTTCCACAGAAAATGACTTTGCTAGTTTCAAACATGGAAATCAGTAAGCATGCTATCACGCTCCTGTCCTAAAATACCACTTCAAAAAACCTAGAGCATCCCAAATTTTGCTTTAATTTCTTTCTGGCTCCACAACACCACCTTCATTTTATCTGCTAAACAGATTGCTAAAAAATTCTAATGCCATCTGATGCCAGACATACCTGCTTGTATTTTCTGTTGATGGTCTGGCCTCATCAGCTTCCAGCCTTCTGTGTGACGAACAGCATAAAAAGACTGAACCAGGAAGACCCAGAGCTTATCACGCAGAGCCTGGATCTTGCACGTAAAACCCTGTGTTCAAGTAACAAATCAGCAGCTGGCGAGGGGCATATTGTCATAGCAACCAGTCATTATTCCTTTCAGAATCTACTTACTCCCTAAGCTAGATCAATGATGTCATCACTTATATTTTATAATGGCCTGGTAGATGGAGATGCTGTTTTTGAAGGATTATTGCCCCCCACAGTAATTTTTACAATACTTTAAAACCAAGTCACTCCAAGGCATACTACAGCACTAGAAAACACCACATTGCTCTTTTTCCTTCCTTTTCTTTTTTTTTTTTTTTTTAAAAAAAAAAATGAACCCCATAATAGCTCTTTACTGTCAGCTGTGTCACAACAAGGTCAAATACTCCAGGGAAAAATAATGTATCTGATTAAATTTTCATTACTTTTACCAAGAAGATCTACAATAGCACCAGATTGCAGTAATTCATTTTGCATTTATTTCTTGTTCTTTGCTTGCAGCATCACTCTGGATTTTAATCAGTATGTCATACTATTAATGAATTAACCCCAGCATTACTGGCAACCACAGCTTAAATATTATTTAGATTGTGCAGATATACAGAGTATGTTACACACATGGAGACTGACACCACCCCCCAATCCAAAAAACACACACTATACTAAGAGGCAGTCCTTGCTTCAGAGGACAGTTTTGAACAAAAGCAAATGTAGCTATGACTCTTAGAAAAAGGGGGGGAAAGCTACATAAAGAGAATAAGCTCTCTTCCCTGTAAGTTTAAGGTAATGCAACATTTTGCTAAGTTTTTTCTCATCACAACTTTAAAATGACAGTAAAGACAACAGAGCAGTGGTGCCCATGAGACTTACATTCTCAGTAATACACAATAATTTTTTTTATTGCCATAGATAGGGTTTCTCTTTAAAACAAAAAAGTGTTACTATCCAGTAAACAAAAGCCAACGTTTTCTGCACTCCCAACAGGACCTTGGATTTGTGCAGATGCTTTTCTGTGTGACCCCAACTACAGGACCGAGCCACCTGAGCTCAAACCACATCATCTGATGTGCACCATTACATGAAACAATACCAGAATAGTTTTTGCTACAAACACTGCACATGGAAAAACCTACCATCTCCTTCACATTTGTGGAGTCCAACAACGTATCCACGGCTACAAGAAGAAAGCAGCTATTGTCATTACTAATACTTTTTTCAATTGCATTAAAAATTAGTTCTAGAAGGTCAGGTTTGCTGCTCATTGCCTGTGCCTGAGGAAACAACAAAAGACAGCCATTTAAAACAAAAGAGTGTACTTCATATGCAAAAGCATTACTGAGCAGAGCGGATCTGCTATCGCGCTGCGCAGGAGGTATTCCAAAGCTGAGCATCTTCCTTTGTATCCATTCCATAACCCCTCCCCAGGCCTCCAGCAAATCACCCTGAGGCCTCTCCCTAACCCAAATTTTAGGAACAAGCACAACATGATGAATTTACAGCCACACGCAACTCCAGATTCGAAGACAAAAAGTTTTAACTTCTCCCTATTTTTTTTTTAATCCTCTATACGAATTAAAAAAAAAAAAAAAAAAAAAAATCTTTCATGGGAGGAATGAACCAGCTAGGTGACTACGTATGTTCCCACCAGGACCTGCAACATTGAAACATTCTTGCAGCTCACAACAAAAATCCACAGAAGTTTGATAATGAGTATTAGCAGTAGACTCATTCTTGTAAGTACATGCTGTTGTTCTAGGGGTCCGAAAGCTTTTTCAAAGTTTAGGTATATACTTATCTCTTTGCAACACAGAAACTGTCCCATTAAATTCATTGGAACTTTTGCTTAACTGAGGCGTATAACCTGAAGGCAGTATCAACCCTGTCAAAGTATTAATATGCCTCAAAACAACACTGAAACATCCCCCCACCCTCCCAAAAAACCTAGCACTGCCTATTTTTTTTTAATTTTTTCCACAGAATAGTACTTTAAAGCAAAAGTTTAAGCTATTTTCATTATTTAGCAGCTTGAACTATCCAAAGTGTGATATAATTCAATTTATATGGAAGCATATAATTACTTGAGGGCACTTTTACCTGCAACAAAGTAGAGAAGCCTTCACTTTGTACTATGTGTAGGAAGTTTGCCACGATAAATGTTACGCATTCTTCTTGTAGCCTTGATGCCACGGCCACAGCTGCCTCTGTCCATTTGACTTGGGGAAGACTATTGATCAGCCGGTCACTCTCCATCAAAAGGAAAGCAGCATTCTTGTGGTTCTTAAAATAAAACCAGAAATTAGCCTGTTGCCAAGTAATGATCTCAACAATTGCTGCTCGTAAAATAGCTTCTGTTCACTTACTGCACACTTACACAAGGATCCAGTCATGTATTCATTTCCCTTCTTTAAATAAATTTGGATGTTGATAATTCCGAGTATTATACTGACCTTTGAAACTAAAGCAGAAAAAGAAAAATCTACTGCTGTTTTTTTGCCTGCTGAAGTTAGGCAGTAAAGGTCTTGGTAGCTTTTACTGTATTTTTTCCACTGTGTGTCATTACATACTGCAGTCCTAACAAAATAAGTCAAATGTTAACTGGAGAAACTGGATAGAGAATAGCCTTTTAGGTCACTGAAAGATGTAATAAATTTTTGTCTAAAATGGGTAAGTGAGAGTTTCAGGTGAGTGGGGATGGCCTGGCATTTGGCATACATAAATACCCAAGCATTTTCATAGTTCTGGATCCTTTTGCTTTACTGAAAGGAGTTGGACATCAAATGTTGGTCTTCCCAGATGGAGTTTTAACTGAACTTACCCTCTTTGCTGGCTAAAGTTTCTCTAAGAAACCTAACTGTTACGTTTATAGTTACATTTAAAACAAGCAGACAGATTTCCTAGTATTTATTCCCCTGGTCTGTGCCTGTGGTTCTTTCATACTTGTCTAAGCATTTGCATTGCCTCATCAGCGTGGTACCTGAGGGCAGCTTCTACTGCCTAACACATTGTTTAAAATGAACTTGCAATTTATTGGTACCCACGTCAGCATGGATTGAAAGCTCTACTCAACATGACCTAGCAGGTCGCTGATAAATTATGCAGTAAGATCAGTAATGCTGGAGAAAGCAACAACTCAGATAAATATTTGACACAGAAAACCCTACTGTAAAATCAGATTATGATCATGTTTGTCACATGCAAAGTAGAAAGCAGGGAGGATTTTCTTCATGCATATTGTCATTAAAACATAAAATCTGGCCAGCCATTGTTCAACTATATTTTTTTTATTCTCTGTGAGGAAAACCAGTTTGCTTCTATGTATATAACGTAAATTAAAGATTAACTATATGCTTATGGTTTGATCTTGCTCCCACTGGACTCAATTACAAGCTTTTCGAATTGTCCAGAATTTGGCAGAATTTAGCCCCTGCTCACAAGGCAATAAGCATTTACTCCCATTAGACACTTCCAGTGAAATATAAAATACCTCCATTGACTTATAATTATATCAGCACTTTGTAGGAATGGCTCTAACTGAATTTTACTTCTCGTTATATTTTTTCCCTAACCATTCTAAAGTGGAGCCCACCTTACTTTAATAAAAAAATGGTAACTTTCTTGCATGTAGTTGAGACATCAGGGATAAGCACCTGAACGGTCTTTTAAACTGCACTCCCATTTTAATGTTTCTGTGTTCATCATTGTGGCTTTCCAGAGATTTTCCAGTCAGCAATCTCCTTTTCTTTGCGCCTTTCCTTCCCAAATTAACTAGCTTTTACATGTCCAAGATTGGTAAATGAAAGGATTGATAGAGTCACACTGTTTAACTGGGTGTAACTGCTTTACAGCAGAGAACTATAGCAGCAGAGAAAGAGAGGATCGTAAAACATATAGTAGCCCCTGCAAAATTAATTGTAGACGTCTTCTTTCTCCCTCAAGCAACCCTAAGCATTTTTGCAGACTGTGAAAAACTCCACTTCCACAAGTTTTTGGACTGGGCATCTTAAAAGCGCAGTGTTAAATGATCACTCACCCAAACTGTTCTGTGGGCAGAAGAGGCTTATGCTTTATTTCTTAACTTTCCAATTCTAAAAGCGTTCTAGGCTTCAGTCCACAAGACACGAGTGAATCTTGCAAAGACCCAACAACACAAATTGTAATTTGCAAATTAAAATGGGAACCAAAACATGCTTTAGTCCAGACTGCAAAAATCTTCCGGAGAAGCTGGGTACACAGCTGGAACAGTACCAAGTTCCACAGTGCCATGGCCGTTCTGCAAATGCCGGTAGCTTAAAGATCGCTCACGTATTTCAACACAAACTGTCATCGCAGTATCTTGATATAGCATAATAGGCACAGGGGGTAAGGAAGGCCTGAAGTGGCTTAGGTTTACCTTTAGGCTGTCCTGATAATGTTGCACAAGGGTTGAACTGTGTCTACATACACTCTTGTCAACACTACACACCTGAGCTAGTTTGGAGGTGGGTGGCGGTATAACTCTGAACACCCATAGATCAGAATGAACTGATCTATAATCCTCAAAACCTTACTTAAAACTGCTCAAATATTTATACAATATATGACATACAAAGCTACGTATAAATTCTAGGAACAACTGAGTACACTGATCTGTATATCTGTCTCTTAAGAGCTATAGCTACTATCTTTATTCTGTTAGAAATTATGCATTCTGGTAGAAGGACTGTTGAGTTTTTGTAACCGTGGATACTCTCAAGCTTTTCTTGGTACAGCCACATAGCTCTGAAATATCTTGTTTTTCAGGCTTTCACCAGAATATGCAGTAGCAGCTGCCACTCACAGCTGACCTGCTGGCCTCAGCACTTGATGGGGTAAGTACTCCACCAAAGAAGTCCTAAGAAAAAACAGTCCCACCAGAACCATTTAAGAGTACATCTCTTGAACAAGGGGTATGTTTGGCAGTATAAATACCTGAGCTACTTAGGTTGGATAACAACAGTAACAGAGACACAGGGACAAGGACTTCAGCATGAGATATAGGAGACATCATCTACTTTGCGGTCTGGCATGTGCTAGAACCAAAATCATCCTGTGAATGTTACCTGAATTAGCTAGATCAAACTTTGTGTATGCCAATCCACATTACAGTCACACACATATAAAGTCACCCTGGGCAGCAGCTGTACAGGTTTACCTTTAGCTCCTCTACCTACTCTTCATATCTCTCCTACAATTCCATGTATTTACAGGCTAATTACTGGACCAAATTCCTCTTAACAGGTCTAGTTCAAATCAGTTACTTTCAAGTCAGCTCTGAGGGTAGTTTTATAAAGAAACACAATTAGAGAGTATTTAAGCAGATCTAAATTGGAACAATATAAACGTGCCACATTACATTGCTCTATTTTTATATAAAAGCACGCTATATACTACTCACCAAAGAGTTTCAAAATGTTTTCCTACCCATCTGTTGAAAAAAGAGCCTTTCTTAGGTAAGGAAGATGAAAACTGTTCTATCTTTACTTGTTAGCATCAGTGACACTTCTAAAGTGTTGTGAAGAAAAAATATGTTTAAAATGTGAACGTATTATATGCCAAAATAAACCCAATTTCAAAAGGAAAATAATTCCAACAGAAAGCAGAGAAATTCAAAACATAAACCATAATTCATTTTATTTTACTTACTTCATGCAAGCAGCATATAGGTTTTCCGCTCCCAATGAATGAGCGATAGCCATGCATTCTAGTACAGGTTGCTGTTTTCCAGGAACAGGCTAGAGTAAATTATCACAATTATTGTACATTCTGACTTACAGAAACTGTACAGAAGTACAGAATCTTCAGTTCAAACAGAAGTACTGTTAGCTACCATGGTATTTAAGCTTGTTTGCCTTTATGCAGAATAGGGAAGTCATCTGTTTCCACACATATCAGTAAAGTAGCATTCAGCCTAGTGAGCCTAAATGCATGAAAATGCTCAACTCTAAGCAGTTGTTTTTAAACTAATTTTAATTGAATATTTTCTAAATACATGCCCATGAAATCTGATATGCAAATATATACTATTTCCATATTCCTATTAAGAGCAATTAAATATACAATGGAATGTACTAAATTATACTCCATGTATATATTGAATTGATCATGTGGAATACTGCCTTTCATCAGTTGTGGTTCACAAGCTTCTACAAATAGGTGGATGATACCCCAGGCCTTACTCCCATCATCAATCCCAGTGAATTTTGCAGATTTACACCTCAGAATAGGGTCTGTTGAATTAAGTTAACACCCTGACCACACAGCTGTTAAGTATCTCGTCAATATGATGTGTAAGTAGTTGAATGAAAATTCTTCTTAGGCTTTACAGTTCACAAAGTAGCATGAGAACTGACATACCTTTTGGAAAAAATTGCAGTAATCTCTTTTCAAAATGTAGATAGCTACTTCTTTCAGCCCATCTAGCCCATACATATCTGCAATGCCCAACATGCGACTAGAGAGAAAGCAGTAGCAACAGGAATCAAAAATCATTTTCATATATGCATTTTCCTTGCGCGACAATTTACATGCCAATTTCACCTCTTCGTTCAGTCACAATTTACTGCAGAAATAGATTAATAACCAAGGGGGAAACTTGCCAAAGAATAATCTTCAAACAGGAACATGTCTTGACCTAATAATAATCTCCCAACCACTGGGTCCAGGCTATATAAAAGTAAGCCTCAGCCGCTGGCTGAGAAACAGTTTAGAAGGCTCTCAGTTTCTCTATTTTAAGGGTAGCAAGTGAAAAAGATATTTGTGCCAGCAGAGTTTTGGCATTTTGTAGGTTTTTTTTCAAGGCTTAGATGAAATGTTATTGATGACATCATATCTGAGAATTACATCCCTTCCAAATACTAAAAAGCACAGTGAGCAAACTATGAATTATTTTACATAATAACTGATATAGTTTTATTTTCTATGTCAATTCATCACCTAACATTGACATTGGGGCATATTATAAACAATTCCATATTTTTTTTAGATAGATAGATAAGGTTTGAACAATTTCTAACAAGAAATTGTAATGTTTTAATATTTAGCGGCAGAGTTCAACAGCTAATATATAAACGGTTAAAACATTTCAGAACTTACTTCACTAGTTCAGGACTATGTATAAAACTGTGATTAAAAACTATCCCTGAAGAAAATGCCAACATTTACATTGGTTGCTATATATCACCTTTTATGGATCTAAGACTAGCTTACTTAGCCTTAGCATCAACTCAAAAGATTATTTAAAAATAAATTCCAAATATTACCTATTATATATTATCATACATTGTACATATTATTCTGAAAACTGAAAGGAAGGTACAGGCAAACTAGGAATATGAAACTCCTGTTTTGCACTCTCCTTACATAATGTTCCAAAAATGTCTGGCCCACCTTTTCCAGTAGCTGCCAAACAGACAAGATTTCTTCAACAGCTTTATTTCTGGCATTTCCTCAAGTATGCTTAGGTGTAACGATCATTATATTTGACATCTTTGTCTTATTTATACTACATGAAGAATTTTCCTTTTGACTTCTAACTGAGAAAATACAAATTACAACTAAAAAGAATAAAATTTGACATATACCCAACATCAACTTTGTCTGGGAAGTCCAGAATACCTCCATATATAAAATGCAAGATGACACTCATTTCTACATGGCTTATGCTGCAAAAAAGAAAGAAAGAAAAAACCCAAATAAAGACATGTCCAGAATAAAACACACCACATTTCTTAGCCAGAGGAAGTTGGTCAAATGGCTGATACACCATCCAGCTGTTCTGTGAATGGAAGGTAAAAGATCTGATAAAATTAAAGCTATAGTCAAGATTACTGCAATGTAAAAATGTCTAAATGGACTATATTTTGGGTGAATTTTGCTACTTTGCTGAAACTTTGTAATAATTTAAATCTTTGAAATGGAGTCATAAGCAGATTAATACTAGTATCTAGATTATTTACAGTCATAATATGCAGAATGGATTTTTTTCATCATCTCCAAGCTCTTTAATAGTAGTAAGTCAATTATTAAGCAACTATATATTTTAAAACTGTTTTATAAGAATTATTTTTAATTCTTGATTTTAGGAATATATTTAAGCTTTTCCCACACTAAAAATACATTTAATAGTTTTACTACGACACTAAATGGAATTGTTGCACCTCAAAATATTTAGAAAACGTCTTTATTGCCTAGATTCAGATTAAGAAATATGGAATTTCTACAGAGTTGTGTTTGCATCCTTGCGTTGTCCTAGCATCATAACAGGGAAAGGCACAGAATGTGCCTGGTGGACACGATCTCCTGAACAATACATTAATGTACTTATGTATGTACATCTCCGTGTGCAATCTTCAGAACCCACAAGTGCTGTGTACAGTAGTATAAATGGAACAGAGTCATGCAGACTGAGCTAAGACCCTTTAAAACATTAGACATGTTTAAGCAACAGACACTGATGACTAAAAACAAATGGGGAAAAAAAGGTTACAACAAGCTAAGAAGCAAAGTCGACACAGTTGTCTCTCTCTGTATTAGTACATGATAGCTATAAAATCAGCAAGAAAGAGTTTCCCCTCAGCCTTGCAGCTGTTATCTTAGGCAGAATTTTCATTATTTTAGAATAAGCCATATGTGCTTTATTTATAAGTGTTTAAAAAGACAGCATGGAAATCTGCGCCAAGCAGAAAACTGAACTAGAAAAGGTAAAATAAATGGATATGATTCTTAATAACAGAAATTAAGAGACATTGGCATGAGATGGCATTCCTATAAAGATTAAGTACTTCTCAGCAGAAAGCCTCTACTGAAAAATAGGCATGAAAATTTCTTAGCTATATAGAAATCAATTACAGGGAGAGCAGTGTAAATACCAGAGTAATTGTTGACCATCAGCCTGTAAAATATATTATGTATAGCATAAAAGCTAAGGAATCAATTAAATTATAAGCGTATTGTCTTATAAAGATTAGGCAGTCATACCCTAATCAACAGATAACCTTCCTGATTTTGCAGTAATATTATTACACTGACAGAAAACTAAAATTATGAAAATGAGAAAGTATCACTTGGCCAAGCAATTTTATATTAACACAAAGCAATTATATTTTGCAACGCTGTAAGGCACATAGTTCTTTCTGAAGAAAGCTGAGCCAGCCAACATCATGCCTGAACTAAAAAAAGCTACCATGTACAAGTATCAGCATTAGCTTGCTTTTTAAGAAAATTCAATATATTTAAATTGATTTTTCTAATACTGAAAAGAACTTGGCAGTTCCCAGTTTATCTAAAAAGTCATAAGTATTCATCCTACACTGACAGCTCCATTATTTTCAGCTCTCACAGAGAAAGCCATTGCGAACAAGCACACCAGTCAAAATTGTTTTAGTGTAGGATGCTGAAATATCATTATTAAACACTATTTAAGAAGTGTAATTGTTTGTCTTTACATTGTAAATATACTCTTATTGTACAAATAGGTATGAAAATAAAATTACACTATTCAGACATTAATAATACCTCCCATGACATGTGCAACACGAAGTGAGAGAATTGCAAAATAGACTGTGAATACTAAAACATACTCTACAGAAAAAGGATTAGTACTCCTCTGCCGATGAAAGAGACTTCCTCCCTGAACCCTCTGACAATATTAACAAATGCACTACACGCCGTTTCATACCGAAGTCAAAACAGTACTGGGGAAATGTATCAGGTTGAAGAAAGTGTCAAGGCAGATTAATCTCCAGTGCTCTATACACAGCACAGTTGTTATGTATTTGCAGTGATTTGAAATTGCCTACCTTTGCTCCCACACGACTGGCAAAGACAACACTTACCCTTGAAGAGTGATGTGCTCTTGGGAGCTTTCAGCCCAACTTCCACTCAGCATAGCAGCAAAGTAACTAGATCTGGCACATAAAATGGCCCTGGGAGGAAAAAAAGTAAACATTATTCCACTAGATACAAATATTTACTATGAGACTCTTTGATAATGTTGACTTAAATCTTTGCCCTTTATGCATTGAGGTGTCATCCGTATACTGCATGCCTTTCCTTCCAGTATGCTTGGAATTTCAGAATATGCTAAAGGAAAAAACCCAAACAGTATTCTAAATTTCTCACTTAAAGCTTGTTTCTAGTATGACTTTGACATTCACACAGAGGAAATTATTATCATAATATATATTATAACACAAAATTGAAAATTCTTTCTTCTGGTCTATTTACCAAACAACCTTGGTTATACATTTTAGCTTGGTTATACATTTAGCTCTGGGCTGCATCAAAAGAAGCGTGGCCAGCAGGTCGAGGGAGGTGATTCTGCCCCTCTACTCTGCTCTGGTGAGGCCGCACCTGGAGTACTGCATCCAGCTCTGGAGCCCTCAGCACAAGAAGGACATGGAAGTGTTGGAGCGGGGCCAGAGGAGGGCCACAAAAATGATCCG